CCCCGAGTTCAATTACCCCAGACCAAAAAAAAAAAAAAAAGGAGTGGGGTGGGGCGGCCTTCTCTGGCCTTTCCCTGGAGAACACTCTTATCTGAGAGGGCCAGCTGGGTTGGAGCAGGCCACCTGAGTCCTCTATCTACTGCCCTCAGGGGCCCCACCTGGGGAGCCCGGCAGCATGGGAGGAAAGACCATGCACGTGGGGATACAGCGGGGAGTGGCCGCCGTGGCCATCTTAAGCCAGGGAGAGCTCCTGGCTGGTCTTGGGCTTCCAGCACACTCTTATCTGAGGGGGCCACCTGAGGCCTCTATCTACTGCCCTCAGGGGCCCCACCCGGGGAGCCCGGCAGCATGGGAGGAAAGACCACGCACGTGGGGATACAGCGGGGAGTGGCCGCGGTGGCCATCTTAAGCCAGGGAGAGCTCCTGGCTGGTCTTGGGCTTCCAGCCTCCAAAACTGTGAGAGAGCCAACTGTGGGGCATCTTATTATGGAATCCAAGTCGTTTATTCCAGAAGCTCATCCTCTGAGAAATCAAGTCAGCCTCGAAGGGGGTCCATCCCACCTGGCAGTTTTCACGCTCTCAACCGACCCATTTGCATTCAGCCCAAGAACCACATTCGGTGACTGTGTGTGGAGACCATCAGGGACAAAAGGACAGGAGTTCCCTGGCCTTACTCCACCTTTCCGGTCCCACTAACATCCCCCCACCCCCACTGATGACACCAAGATGCCTCCATGATTTTCCACAGGGAAGAAATTCCTAAGAATGTTTACCACACTCACGGCCAGTGGGATAGCAGCCCCCAGGCCACCCGGGCTGCTCCATCCGAGGGCTGTCCCTTCCTTACCAGCCTGAGTTTTCTCTCCCTCAATGTTGTTCTTTCTGGAGCTGAAGCCCCTCTCCTTTTCCCAGTTAGAGCCTGGCCTGGTCTCTCTTTTTCTTTCTTTTATTTATTTATTTTTATACCAGGAATTAAATAAACCCAGAGGCGCTTGACTGCGAAGCCACATCCCCACCCTTTTATTTTATTTATTTTTTAATTTTTATTTTTTGACAGAGCCCTGCTAAATTGCTGAGGCTGCCTTTGAACTCAATCCTCCTACCTCAGCCTCCGAGTCGCTGGGATTACGGGCGTGCCCCACTGCACCTGGCCAGACCGGACCAGGTTTCATTTTCATTGTCACTGAGTCAGAAGTTCCTGTGGCAAGTGCCATCCTGATGGGGGAGGGGCCCTGCGGATGCGGGAGGTGGGAGCCATCCGGGCAGCCCCAGAGGGGAGGGGAGTCTGGTCCCCTGGGGGGGGGGCCAGAGGAGGCCGGGGAAACAGCCATGGAAGTAGCACACGGAAGCCCCTCATGGGAGAATCTTCTGCAGCTTCTTGACCTGGAAGTAGTAATTTCTAAACAGGTTCTTCCAAGGCCGGAATGGCCGTCCGTCGTAGGGGTACACAAAGTTCTCCCAACAGTGCTCAAACTCTGTGAGGGAGGAGAGGAGGGGGCAGTCAGAGCCCTGCAGCCTGCTCCCCACCCCCAGGCTGCCCCAGCACCGGCTCCCTGTGTCCCCTCCCACTGCTTTGGAGACCTGGCCTGGCCTGACCCTCATCCTGGTTCCTTGGGCCACCCTGACCCTCTGCTCCTCACCTCTGATGGACATGATTTCCACCCTGGCTCCTTCCCGCTGCAGGGCGCGAAGCCCCTCTTGGTATGAGTGCTTCCAGAAGTAATAGAGGCGGGCGGTGTAGACGGTCAAGCTCAAGTTGGAGTGGCTGGCCAGGAAGGCAGCCACCTGCTGTGCACAATCCGAGCAGGGACTCCAGGAGATGAACCAGGTGATGTGAAAGTGCTGGTCGGGGAACTGCAGGGGGTAGTCGTGCAGCCAGTAGAGGAAGCACAGCTCGGCGTGCAGGCGGGTCTCCAGGAAGACCTGGGGGTGGGGGAGGCGAAGCCCAGGTGGAGGATGGCCAGGCCGGGGCGGGGCGGTGGCATTTCATCCATTCTCCCCTTTTGAATTTATTCACTCTCCCAGCTCCCAGGTGGCCCTGGGCCAGCATGCCTAGCCCTGCTCTGGCCAGGTCGGGGGAGGGCACCAGGCTGCACCACCCCACGGGGAGGAGCCACTGGCCACAGGTGCCTACGGAGCACTTGTGACTCATCTGAATTCGAGACCCTGGGCCCCGCATAAAACACCCAGCAAAAATGAAAAAGAACGTCATCCTGGGAAGAGTTTTATGGGTTGAAATGCTGTTAGGCATATTGGACTAAATGAATTCCGCCCATTCCTGACCACTTGGTGGACTGTGGGCACTGGAAGAGTTTAAATGAGAGACATGATCCATTCGCCTTCCATTGGGTAGCTGTGCTGCAGAGCAGGCCTGCCCACCCCAAAGGGCTCCTGCCCTCCAAACACTTGGGACAGCTGAGCACGGGTGGCAGGCGGGCAGGCGGGCAGGCGTGTGGAGGGGATGTGACTGCTCGGTGTAGGGGCTGCAGGGGTGGCACTGGATCTAGCAATGGCCGGTTCTGGTCATGGCTGCCGTATGGGGGCCCAGGGAGGCCCTTGCTCTGAGTGGGCTGGGGGCAGGCAGGGGCAGGCACAGCGCCCAGTGTGTGGTAACAGGTCCTCTCTGTGCAGGGGTCAGGGGTATGGCAGGGGCAGGCTCGGCAGCCCCACAGACATGAGGGCCCGATAAGACGCTGGGGAGCTGGGGTTGGGGCTCAGAGATGCGTGAGGCCCTGGGTTCGATCCTCAGCACCACATAAATAAATAAAATAAAGGTACTGTGTCCACCTACAATTAAAAAGTAAATGTTAAAAAAAAAGACTCTGGGGTCTCAGGGCCCCAACCTGCTAGATGTCCTTTCCTCAGGACCGTAAGACACGCGGAGCCTCAGGACAAGGTTTGCCTGTGGACTGCTGAAGAAGGCCTCTGGGGGAGTCAGACGCCATTGTGTAGCAGGTCACAGGATGGGCGTCCCAACATCTGGCTTTTTACTGATCTCCTCTGGTTCTCAACTGGAGTGGCTCCTGTCTACCATGAGAGAGGAGTCTGGCTGATACCTGGGTTTTAAAGACCCCTCTGTGAATGGGGACAGTTGAGTCACGCTCCTCTCTATCCACCTGGTAGCACAGGAAGGTGTTGTTCCGGCCCAGGGCCCAGCGAAGGTTCCGGAAGTGGAAGAGGAATGTCTTTCGATATAAACACCTGATCTTGTTTCTGGAGGCAAGAAAGGAGACACCGAGCGAACCCCAAGTTGCTCTAAGCTGCTGTCCACTGAGCCGGCTCCCTGGGTCCCCCTTGGTGCTCCCCAATCCTCTGCAGCTCTGAGAACTTCCGCCATGGAGGGCCTGTTGGACCCACCCGGGGTCCCAGCTCTGATCCTTCCAGTGGGACGCCCCCCCACCCTGCCCACTCAACCCCCAACCGAAAGAAAAAGACCAAACCCCCTCACCCCAAGTGTGAGCTTTGAGCGCCTGGCCTCCGTTCATTCCTGACTCACACTGTGCATGCTGTTTTTGTTTTTAAATCAGGGTACCACCTGAAGTCTCGGGGCACAAGCTACTGTTCTGCAATTTCTCCTCATCTTTCATTCTTGTGTCCTCCGCCATCTGGGTGGTTCAGCTCTAAGAGGTCTCATCTCTGCGGTTGGGGGTGTGCTTGGGGACCCTGGACAGTCCCTCTTGGGCTCAGTGGAGGTGACTCCTTCAGTCTCAGAGCTCCCTCCTCCCGCTCCCTCTCCTGAGACTTCAGGCTGACAGCCGCGCGGGCTTCGAACACCACTGCGGGTTCCTTCCATCAGTTTGCGTTGGGTTCTGATTGATAACAAGACTGGCAAACCATGGAGCCAGGCTGCCCGCACGCGGCAGGAGGGGCAGCCAGGGGGCACTTTCAGACAGCTGCAAAGAAAGGGCCATGGGGCTGGGGGAGGAGGAGGAGGGTGGCACATTCAGAAGCTGCCATGGGCCCCCTCCAAAACGGCAAAGACCCCGGGGGGTGCTGCGGAGGAGCCTGGAGAGAGAGAACCCAGGCCTGGGTGGGGGAGAGACCAGAAAGAAGCACTATGGGGCTGGGAGGGGGACCCCAGGTAAGGAGGTGCTGCAGAGGGGCCAGCGGTACCTGATGTCTGGGGCAGGGTTGTGGCATCCTGGGCAGGCCCCGGGTCTCCGGTTCTGGGGCTCCATTTCCTGATTTCAGGGCCTTTGCTTTGGCAGCCCCCTGATCGATCTGTGAGTGACCTCCAGGGCCATCTGAGTGCCGGCCCCACCTTCTTCCTGGTTTGGCACCGGAATGGGAGGGCCTAGGGTGGGTTTTCTGCCTCAGGCTCAGACACCTTCTCTCCTTCCCTCTGCCCCCCGCTGGGCAGAGCAGGACACGGCCCCTAGATGAAGACCGGCCCCTCGGAGCCGCAGGACCACAGGAAGCACAAAGGGAAAGAGAAAGTAACTGATCCCAGAGCGGGAGGAGGGCGTGGGCCCTGGAGAGGGAGCAGGGCAGACGCCCCCCCTGCAGGCTGGACAGTCTGGGTCTCGCTCATCCGGGTCCAGAGCCCAGCGCTGCACCTGCCTGGGGAATGGCGGGTGATGGACAGGGACGGTGTGGATTCCAGACAGGGCCTCCTGTGTCCCGTCCTTGCACCGGAGCAGGGAAGGGCAGACACGGATTGGGTTCCTGATTCTGTGCTTGGATCTTCCCATCTGTCTCCTCATCCAACTTCCCAGCCAGTAACCCCAATGGGACCGATGGGCACAAAGACTCCAAGCTGGTGATTGACAGCTCAGGAGCAGGTAGCTACAGGTGGCAGAGCTGGAATTGGTGATCTCATGCTGTGGGCTTTCTCCACAGTCCAGGCTGCTTCTCCCTGCAAAATCAGAGACAGCAGTCTTGCCACCTCTCAAGGGTGGAGGTATGAGCCAACAAATGCCACACAAACACACGAGCATACAATACACACAGCTTTCTAATTGTTTTAAGTCCATCCATGGATAAAACCTAGGGCGCTTAACCACCAAGCCACATCCCCAGGCCTTGTCATTTATTTTTGAGACAAGGTCTCTAAATTGCTTAGGGCCTCCCTAAATTGCTGAGGCTGGCTGTGAACTTGAGATCCTCCTGCCTCAGCTTCCTGAGCACTGGGATTAAAGGCATGCACCATCTTTCCCAGCCTAAAACCTAGAACTCTTTGGAGGAATCAAGGTCCATTGTGTCCTCCAAATAATCATTCTGGATATCATGTCCTTCAACTGGATTTTGTCCCAGATGAAGGTGTGCTCTGTGCCAGGCCCTGGGCTCCTCTGAAGGCAGAACCCATTGGGAAGCGGGATGAACGGCTGTTAGGCTGTGCCACAGCGCCCCCTCCTGGCGGAAGGCGATCCTACCTCTCCCCAAGGTAGAACTTGGGGTTGAACTTTCAAGGTGGGTTTCTGTTGCCTTGGAGAACAAAGGGGCACAGGACAAGGACATCAGTAGACAATACATACTTCCACTGATCAGAAGCAGACACATTTTATAAGAAAATGGAGTGAAGAACACAGACCCAGGAGTCATCCCTGAACCCAGCTGTGGGTGACAGGGAGGAACTGTGGTGGAGGCACCAGCTTTACAGCCAGGCACACCCTAACTCTGCCCCTTCCTTACCCTGTGGCCTTGGGTGACTTACTGAATGTCTCTGAATCTCTAATATCCTTCATCTTTAAAAGGGCATTAATCATATGCATCTTATAGTTATTGGGAAAGTCAAATGTGACTGGTTTATGTAAAGAATTTAGCAAAGCACCTAGAATGTTCAAAGAATGGAAGACCTAACAGCTATGACCCAGCTGGGGGTTGAACCCAGGGTCTCCCCCATGCTATACATGTGCTCTACCACCAAGATACATCTCCAGCCCTGTTAGTTTTTGTTTTGTTTTTTGGTGGTGCTGGGATTGAACCCAGGTCCTTGTGCAGGTAAGGCAAACACTCTACCAACTGAGCTATATCTCCAGCCCCTATTAATTTGTTGTTTAAAAACATTTTCCACTATCAAGGTGCAGTGACCCATGCCTGTGATCCCAGTAGCTCAGGAGGCCGAGGCAGGAGGATCTCGAGCTCAAAGCCAGCCTCAGCAACTTAGCAAGGCCCTAAGCAACTTAGTGAGACCCTGTCTCAAAATAAAAAGTGAAAAAAGGCTGAAGATGTGGCTCAGTGATCAAGCACCCTCAGTACCAAAACCAAAAAACAAACAAAAAAGTACCTTACCTTAGACCTCACTAGAATGCAAGAATACAAATAAAAAAATAGAATACCTTTTTTTTTTCTTTAATATTTATTTTTTAGTTCTCGGCGGACACAACATCTTTGTTGGTATGTGGTGCTGAGAATCGAACCCGGGCCGCAGGCATGCCAGGCGAGCGGGCTACCACTTGAACCACATCCCCAGCCCCAAAATAGAATACCTTATTAAAAAAAATTCCCACTGGACTTGGGGATGCATGTCTGTAATCCTAGTGACTCAGGAGGCTGGGGCAGGAGAATCCCAAGTTCCATGTTAACCTCAGCAATTTAGGACCCTCAGTAACTTTGACCCTGTCTCAGAATAAAACACAAAAAGGGCTGGAGATGTACTTTAGTGTTAGCACACCTGGGTTCAATCCCCAGCCCAAGAAAGGAAAATAATTTGTGTGTGTAGTTTCATTTCTAGGATGCGAGATATATATATGAGAAACAAAAACATGAACACATATATCCGTAAGTGACCGTTTGTGATAGTTCCATTCCAAGTGTTGTACGGGTCATGTCAATAATTTACTTCCTTTTAGTACAGAATAGTATTTATGGCATGGATATGCTGTTTTGTTTTTGTTTTGGGGAGGGGGTTCTGGACATTTAACCCAGAGGCATGTTACCACCGAGACAGAGCCAGCCCTTCATTTTATTTTGAGACACAGACTCTCTAAGTTGCTGCTCAGGGCCTCGCTAAGTTGCTGAGGCTGACCTTGAAATTGTGATCCTCCTGCTTCAGCCTCCCCATTGCTGGGATTATAGGTGTGTGCCACCAGGCTAGGCCTTGAGTATAGGTTTTTATGTGAAGATGAATTTGCATTTTCTGTGATAAGTGCCCAAGCGTGTGATTGCTGGGCTTTACGTTTAGTGTGTGTTTAGTTTTATAAGACACCATGGAAATGTTTTCTAGAATAAACGTGCCATTTTATATTCTCGCCAGCCATGTACGGTGGATCCAGTTTCCTCACCTCCTTCCCAGCGTGTGACCCTATCACTGTTTTTCTGTTTGAAGCCTCTGGTGGGTTTACAGTGACACTGTGGTTTAACGTTCATCTCCCCGTGGCCCTGGGGACCTTCAGATTTGATTCCCGGCAAGTCAGGTGGCCCGTCAGTGGCTCCCGGGCTGCTCATCGATGACCGTCACTAATTAGTTATAATTTTTTTTTCTGGGGTGGTGGTACTAGGGATCCAGCCCAGGGCCTCGTGCATGCAAGGCCAGCCCTCTACCAACTGACCCCAGCCCCTAGATTTTTTTTTCGTGTATTCTATTTCTGCCCTTGTTAGGGTCAAGGTGGTGCTGGTTCTGCAAGGATCTGGGACGCCTTCGTCCTTTTCTTTCCTCTGGAGTAATTTCTGTATCCTGCACGTGGACACCGAGTCTGAGGCCTGAGGCTGCATGGCGGCTGGTCACCTTCTCAACGTACGCTCTAAGGATGACCCTGAGGATGTCTTCCCCATGTGGGGTCAGTGTCGGTGGCTCCGGGTTCCTAGGACACCTGCGACAGTGGAGTGGAATACGGAATCTTTCCAGCTGCTCCAGAATTTGTGGCGGGAAGTGAAAACCACCGTCAGAGAGGGCCGTGCACCTGGCACCCTCAGCAACGTCCAGTAGGAAGACGCCACCAAAAGGCTGGTGACCAGACTGACTGGGGTGGGAGTTTCGGCCAGGAAATCCAGCCCCTAGCCACTGCAGGCCGTGTCCCTGGGGTGGGGCCACGGAGACGTTGAAGAGGTGGCCGGGAGAGAAAATGAGGGGACGCCCCTCCACCTTAGGACCTCGCTGAAATGTCCTCTGTGCACCTCAGAGACACCAGCCACAGGTACCAGGGACGGGCCACAGCAGGGTGCCCGTGGGCTCTCGGAGAAGCAGGGACGGCCCAGAGCCAGTAACAGCAGCACCGATTAAGTGGCAGACACAGTCCCTGTCCCCTGCCTCCCCCGCCCCCCAGGAAGAAAATTCAACAGGCCCAGCTCTCGGTGGGTCCGTGGGTCTGTGGAGAGCGTGGAGTGCAGCTGCCCTCTGGGCTCCCCTCCTGCACACGCCCTGCTTGCCCCCGGCTGGCTCCCAGGAACAAGGAGAACTGAGGCCAGGGAGACGGGGAAGGGCCTGGGGAGGAGGCAGAGCTGCTTTGATCCACAGCGTGGCTCTGGGCCCTTCCCGCCTGCGGGCACCACCTGCCTCCCCAGCCCAGGTCAGGGGCAAGGGAGACTCTCAGGTCAGCGGGAGGCCAGGAAGACAGGGCAGCCAGGAGGGCCCTGGTGGGAGCAAGTGGCCCTCAGGGAGACGCACGGTGGGCAGTGTTTGCCCCGCACCCTTCTCAGGGGATGCAGAGCTCACCTGGAGAGAACCGAAAGGGAAGTAGGGCACAGGGATAGACCCCAATTCACCAATCACCAATCATATTGACTAGAAAACCACACACACACCTATATACTCTGTGTGTGTGTGTGTGTGTGTGTATGTGCGCGCGCAGGAGCTATTTGTGCATATAAATATTTATAGTGAGAGTTATTGACATGATTGAGTACATTTTATTCATTCTCCCTGATTTATAATGTCCAATCTTTTTAAATTTTTTTTTTAGTTGCAGGTGGACACAATACCTTCGTTTATTTGTTTATTTTTCTGTGGTGCCTCACCCATGCTAAGCGAGCGCTCTACCGCTGAGCCCCAGCCCCAGCCCAGTGTAATGCCAAATCTTTAAAAAACAAATAAATATTTATAGAAATGAAAAGTTGCACGGGGTGTGCTGCTGTCCCTGGCCTTCTGCAGGCGGGCGATGGCGAGCCCCTGGGGTGGGGTCCCACAGAGCAGGGGTGGGGGTGGGGGAGGCTGCGCAGGCCTCAGCCGCTGGGCATTTGGCATTTGAAACAGGAAGCCGGGGTGCTGGGTGGAGGGGGATAATGTAGAAAGGACAGAGACAGAGCCTCGTTTCCAAGGGGACTTACAGGGGCTGGGGTGGGAGGGTGAGCGTGTGGGGTGAGTGACATTGAGAAGCGGGAACAGAGGACTGAAGGACACGAGAGGTTTCCTGGGGAAGGGCAGCTGAGGGACATTCTTTCCTTTTCTTTTCTATGTTCCTTGCCCTTTTTTAAACTTTATTTTGAGACAGGGTCTTGCTAAGTTGCTGAGGCTGGCAATCCTCCTGCCTTAGCCTCCTAAGTCCCCCACCAGTGCTGGCTGCGCCCCTTTCATTTATCAAAGAATCCTGCCGTGAGGCTGCCGCAGCCTTGGTTGTCTCGGGGGCATCTGCGGTTGGGTGTCATCATGAAGAGCTGAGCCTGAGCCCGTAAGCCAGTGTTCGTCCTCGGCTCTGCCACAGCGAACCTCACCTGCACCTCTACCCGATCATCACCGTAGAGGGAGACTAGGGACTTCTGGCCACCTCTGCCACCCAGGGATTCAAGGTTCACAGGCAGGAACAGGTGCACCCGTGTGAGGTGGCCCAAGTCC